TACAAGGAACATACTTGCTGAAGCAGTAACTAATTCTGTAACATGTACACTTATCATAGACATTTACTTTCAATGAGAAAAACATCAAATTCATCCATTTTCTTCCCATGGTTCAACAGCAAATAAGTCAATAAGCAACAGAAGAGATTTCGATCCATTTACCTGGCTCTTTGCTGCATTCCCAATGGCCCGGGTCTTGGATCCTAAAGATATACATGCTCTAAGTAAAAACAAGGAAAAGAAATTCAGCATTAAGAGAAAACATAATGAAATAATTCCACAGTAGTTTAAAACATTCACAAAAATTAAAGTAGCAGAACATAAATGTGGTATTTAATAATAGTATTTTATGAAGCGCCAGTTGAGTTTTCTTGACTCAACAACCACATTCCTACTGTAAGAGCCACTGGCAACAATAATCAGGGAAAACAAAAACAACACAAAAAAGAACATGTAAGCTCAGTTCTACAAACTGTTGAGTGCTTCCCATGACTGAAGGCTACCAGGAACAAACTGCAAATAGGCAAAAGTCTGCGAACAGCTCCCAGCAACAGGCGGCTTGGGAAGCTGCATAGTGCACAGCCTCTTGCAGCTTCACAGGTACTACTGAGCATCTCTCTCAGCCTTGCCTCTGGCTTTAGCAAAGGCTATCCCAGGTCCACACCTTCATTTCACTGGTATGAAATACAACTTGAAATACAAATCCCCAGAAGGGAACTGATCTGGCTAAGACCATTCAGCAGTAAATAAGAGATGCAACCCGGATTTAATGTTCAAATTTAATTATTTAATGAATGCATAAAGGTCACCACAGTAGATTGCTTCCTGCCTCCCCTCCATCATCTCTACAATGAGGGCACTGTATGTAATTTGAAAGTATTATCTAGCAACCTCTTCTGCTGTAACACCACACTGAACAGACAAAACCTTCTCCAGACTGAACTGCTGCAAACAGACAATGCACTGCCCTACATTTGCAAATATGCAGTTCAGCTTTCACAAACAGTTTTTACAATTTTTAATGTCACTTAACACTATAGTTATCAATTATGCTTATTAATAAGAAAAGTCAGGTAACAGGAAATTAAGAAAGGAGCAAATGGTTTACAAGTAATTTATTTTATGGATAATGTGCTAATACTATTCTATCACACCTTTTCAGTGTTGGAATTTGAATCTGTCGACAAACAGCATCACTTGCAAATACCCTTATGCAGAGGATGAAGCACCAAGTCAGCCCACTGACATTCCTGCCATGGTTTACTTCAATCACTGAATTCCAGTACAGGGGAATGGTGGTTTCTTCCTTCCTTGGCTGGGAAGCAGAGATGTCAAAAAATAAAACATGCTCTCTTTGGCTCTGAAGACTTCAATTATATCCATGGCAGTCCTTTAGGAAGCACATCCAGCACAAGGATACACATGCCTCAACTGGCCTGTCTCCCCCACTACTACCCTCAACCTGCTCTAAAGTGAGCTTTGGAACAGTACACAGACTTTTCTAAAGTAGCAGCTCTTCAGCTAAAGGACATTTCAGTACTCTTCAGCATTGTTTTGGAGAAGCCACTACCATGTCATTTTACTTAGTTTGTGATTACACTAATTACACACTATCTGAAAAAAGTTACTGAAGAATTATGAGCTTATTGATGATCAACTGTTTTTTCACAAAACCACAGTGGTGAGGCACAGCACCTGAAAGGGCCATTTGCCACTAGTTTAACAGACCAGGTGTTATAGAAACACATGAAACAGACTAGCTGGAGTTCCCAGTTCTGAAAAAGCCAAGCATCAGTTCTCATCCAAAGAGACACTATGGCCAAAGCCCTCAAAAAGCGCAAGGTCTACTGAAATGGAAGGTCTAATGGCAGAATCTTTTTCCTTTCTAATTACCTGTGCTAAAACTTTAAAGATTACACATTTTAAGGAATGCTAACTATCCCATACCTTAGATTACAGAACGTAGGTTTTAGGCAAGATGAACATTTTAACAACTGGAATGCTGGATTTATGAATTACTAGTGCTGTATTAAATTGTGAAAATATAAATCTTCACTGCTTTAGTCTGTAGCACTGAAGTGTGCTTATACTACTGCTGTACTGTTGACAGGTACCTGAACCAGCTCAGAAACTGGAAGCCAGCTGCACTAATTTGTTCTGCCCAGAAAGAGCAATCAGCCTGACAGAGCACAGCCAGGACTGCCTTATCTTTAGGGCCTAACTCAGTTTACATGGGTTAATAGCAACACACTGCACTTGAAAATGTACTCATCAGGAGCTAGTTCAGGTGTTTTTATGCCATGCTACACAGCCACAACAAATCTTAATGCTTTGTATTTCTGGGAGTAAGTCCCAAATGTTTGTGACATATCTAATCAATGCTAACTATTTGTTAACATTAAATATCTAAATGACATAAGTGCCTCTATAGGAACACATAAATAAAGAGTTCATTTACTGTGTCACTGTGTGTAGTAAGCATAAAAGTTTGATCTGCCTACATCAGTCAAATCCTGTTTGAAGCAAGGTTTAGTTACTATGATAAACTTTTACAGCAGTAATAAACCTGCTATATTTCCATTAACTTCTTTAGTTTCCCTCAAGACAACAGCATTAAAAAGGAAGCTCCTCATTCTCCTATAGTGCATTTTGGAGAAAGAAAAGAAAAAAGCCAGGAAAAAAGTCACTTCAAGGGAGATAACTACTGCCTTTAAGTATCTGTGCACCCCAGATGCTATCCTGCTAACTGTGCTTTTAAACCCATTTCATAACCACTTTGCAAATATTTTGAAAGTATAACTGCTCCAGCATTACTGGGAGAAATACTAAATGCAGAGAAACCTGTGTGGAGCCTCCCTGCAAAGAATGCACTCCAAAAGTACCTAAGAATTGGAAGTGCTCTTCATCATACAGGGGCAGAAAACTGCAGCTGCCTGAAGATTCTTGAAGCAACAATTTCAGGGGCTTCCTTGCACAGAAACTTGGAAGGTGCGAGAACTTTGGCTCTTAAAGGATGCACAAAGATAATGCCTTCTTGTGAATTAAGGTGACGGTATATATATATTTTAAGTAGTAATTAAAGATATGCCTAATACAGAAAACATGCATTTTAGCATTCGACTTTGTTCTTTTAGAAAAGAACTTTTCAGAAAGCAAATAAGCCCTACATTTCTCCAAGATCAAAGAGAAAGCAATGCTAAAGTTGTATAGCCTCACATAGCAGAAAACAGCGTTCTACTGTTGTCTACAAATTCTTTTTAGAAAAGCACCATCCAAACCCCATTTTTATGAGCATTATACGAATTCCTGACTTCTCGAAAATTACGCACAGATGGAGCTCCAAAACCCCTAGACGTATCCCATAGAAACAAAGAATCTCCACCTACTCCTGCGTATCCCATCATCACGGCCGCTGCCCGCTGCCCCCCCTTCCTTGCAAGACCTCGGTTTTCCACGGCCAACAAACGCAGAACGGTGCGAGTAAGAACAGGTTTACGGAGAATCATCGCGCCACTTCCCCGTTTCCCACAGAATTAACGTCCTCCTCCCTCCTACCCTGTCTCACATTCACTCCATCATAAAATTGTTAATGAAAATGCTCCAAGCCCCGACAACGGCTCTAGAGTTGGGGAAACACACGCTCTTATCCACATCGACAATAAACTAAAAGTATTAAAAGGGTAGAAAACAACTCCCCATAAATCCACTGTGCCCCGAGAGCCGTGTGGCACATCCAGCACACCGCGGTCCTTCAAGGACACAGAGGAGTCAAAAGCTGGAGGCGGGGGGGGGGGAAGGGAATTGCTCTTCGGGCAGTCGCCTGCCCCGACACACGCGTTTCTGCGCCTACTGAGCACACTGCCCGTGTGACCGGGAGCGGGGCGGCCGGCGAGAAGGGCCGCACACAGCTCCCGACCGATCGCCAGGCCTCAACCACTGACAGGTCCGGGCGCCGGCCAGCAGAACCCCTCTCCTCGCCCGCAGAGGAAGCAGGAGCGGCTGCCGCCTCAGCACGGTCAAGACCAAGCGAGGAGCGTCCACGAGCCGCGGAGAGAGCAAGGCCTTGCGGGGATACACGCGGCTCCGCCCGGTCGCTCCAGGAACCCAGGACGCCGGGGAAAGGATTGGGGGAGGCGGGGAGAAAGGGCGATTGGGTATGCCGCTGAGGCAACGAGAGCGAAAAGTGTCCGGAGGCGGCCCAGGAGCGCCGATACTCACGGGGTGCAGCGGTCACTGTACTCATTGGCGATAGTCTCGATACCGCCGCTGCGAGCGACGCCGATGTAGCAGTTGAGGAAGCCGAGATCAAAGCCGACCACGGACATGGCTGCACCTGGGCACTCCCCGCCGGCCTGCGACTGTAGCGGCAGCGGCTCCGGTCTAAGGTGCTGGAACGCAGCTCCTCACCCTCCTCTCTCCCTACTGCGGAGCACCGGCCACCAACCGGCAGTTACCGTCCTCTGCGCACGCGCGCTGAGCCGGCCGGCGGGGAATCTGCCGGGCGCCGGGCGCGACTTCGGCACTTTCCGGAAGCGCTCGGGTTGCGGCCGCGGCGGGCGAAGCGCATTCGAGAAAGATCTGGAAAGGGAGGGACTAAGGCGTTATCTAGAGAGACACCCCGTACGCAGACGTCACCGCTGCGGCGGGCCACGCCCCCGCCCCCATTTAAAGGGCCCGGCGGGCGCGCGTAGCACTTGAGGTGACGGTGATCCGTAAGGATGTGCCTGTGGGTGGGTACTGCTGCCCGCCTTGACCAACTACATGTAAGCGCTGGTTGCAACACAGTATAATTTAATGTGCTTATAGCAATTCAGAGCAATTAGTGCTGGGAGATTATTAAACCGGTTAATACAACCGTCCTCGGCAGCTGGAGCTGCCCGCAGGAGTGGGGCTGGCCAGTTTTCTCTCACCTGGTGGTCCCTGGCCAAGGCCTTGCAGCTCGCCCTGAGGTGAGGGGCGGGGCATTGACCCGGTGGCCTGGAGGAGGCAGTTGGAAATTCCCAGGGCTTCAAGGCATGGGCTTAACCCCGCATTGAAAAGCCTAGAGAGCATTGCGTATAAGTCCCATGTCCAAAACAGGTGGGGATTGCTGCAGGTGCCAGGGAGAGGCGGAGGCTTCCAACCTTCAAGCTGTGTCTTTCTCCCATAGAAGAGCTGTCCCAAATTTGTGCCTACATATCCCAGAAGCACACTCACCTTTGTAATTTTTCTTTCTTAGGAAAAAAAAGATGTCATGAAACTTGAGTTACCTCTACTGCAGCTGCCCCATTTTTTATGGGTATCATTTTTACAGCAGGCTGAATCTCTACAAGACATATGCTGGAAAAGCTCTGTAAGTATGTATTTGCTTCTAAAAATGCCATTCTGAATTTCACACAGTGATGACATCTTTCTGACACAGCATGTGACATTGCTGCACAATTTGGTTCTTCTGGAGAGGCTAAAAATAAGCATTCAGCCACTAAACTGGATTCATATTTCGGTCAAGAGTTTTAGTTGTCTCTCCATTTGCTACTGTTTCAATGGTCTAGTGCAGGACTAGAATTTTCCTAGTGAAGATGACAGATGCCATTTCCCTCTCAAACCTGCAGGAGTAAGACAAGCCGCTGCTAGAGAGTTATTTGTAACATGACTGCTGTTTATCAGTACAAGCAATGAACCACCTCATTTTCCTTACTAGTATTAGGATATGAAAGGTAAACCAGGTTCAGTCCCATCTGCAGTAGCTAAGGAGACAAATCCAAACTCAGGGTTCTGCTCTGCTTCTTCAGTCCCTGTTACAAAACCAGTTCTCAGTAATTCAGGGTATTGCAGCATCCCACTTTTGTGGCATCACCGAAGGCTAACTCCTGACAGAAAAGAAACCTTGGGCCAAGAGATCGTATGCAAATGCTCTTGTGTAGCTATGCAACATTACTAAGCCAGACCCAGCAGAAATTGTGCAACCTTGCAGCCATCGCTGCAGAAGCACTGGCGTGTCTCACATCTCAGTAGAATAAATCAGACTGTGTGCAGCTTCCTACTGCCACTGCAGAGTTATTTCTGGCAGCCAAGCCAGCTGGTTTCAAGCAGCAGACAGGAGCGCAGATGTGTGTAGACTTTCACGATAGCAACAAGAAAGCGCCAACAGACTTTATTTGCTTTGTCAACAGTAAGACTGGGATGAATTGGAGGTGAGATTGTAAGCAGGATAAGCCAGTAAAGTCTTTCATGAAAGTCTTGCGTGTGTGCTTCCCTGCCGTATTGATTGCCCAGCCTGTGAGTATGAACAAAACATGGTCAAGCCACATCAGCCACAGACTTGCCTGAGCGTATCCCCCCAGTCGTCTACTGTCACTGTAGCAATCTCAGAATTGGGGTTGTCTGAGTCTTTCCAGTTCTTGGCATGTTGGTCACATCTGCATTTTTAGCAGCTAAAAGAGATTTGTACTAAAGGAACTAAGGTTTTTTTTTTGTGAAACTTCACTGGTTGTGGAGAAATGTTAGGAATGCTGCTAGCCTCAGTTTCTTTGAACATAAGCATTTTAATAAAGGCTGCCTAAATGCTCTGTTTGGTCCCCAAGATACCAATATTCCACAAGGTTTGGTTTCTGTTTTCTTTCCCCATTGAAAATTATTAGGTAAGAAATACAAATAGGAGTCTCCTCATTTACGTACACTGCAATATTGAGAAGAATTCTCAACCATTTTAAACTTTCTAAAGAAATAATGTATTGAGTGTTCTGTGTAGGTGTGTGGGTCTCTACGTTTCTGTGCTGTTTCTGCTTAAAATGCTGCCAGCCAGGCTAATGTTCTCAGTGGTGTTTGAGTGATGGAACAGAGAGAAAAGTGAGTTGCTGTATTTCCTAATGCAAACTTAAAAACAACCAACCAAATATAACCTCCTTTGCTGTCTTGACTTGTGCTTTAGAATACCATGAAAACACAAGCTAGAAATAGGTTTTCTTTATAGTGTGGTTCAGGTAGAAGCGGTAGCAAGCTGATGCCTATGCATTTTTAACAGTGGGCTCTGCTGACAGGCTAGGGGTACTGCTGTTTACAAACTATACTCAGGTACATGCCATGATTTGAAAGTCAAGATACGTAACATTTAGTGTGAATAAAGCCAGAGCATTGAGAATTCTAAACAAGAGGCAAATATTTTCTTGGCTGCATTTCTTGAATGAAGTGAAAACAGTGGTCTTTAGTTCCCTGAAAACAAATTATTTAATTTAGTACATTCTTAGTAACAAAAACACCAAATGATTTCTTTAAGGTATTGTTTGCATAACATTTAAACTAAAAATATGCTATGCAAACAATGAGGATTCTAAAATGGACACTCAACAAACAAATGTTCACTCACTGTTTTAATCAGATCCTGGACTCCCTGAAACATTGTAGTTAAAAACATCCTTAATTTTGTCATAAAGGACTAGCAAAGGACATTGGAGGGTGCTCCACATAAGAAAGCATTAAGCCCCTCTCATGTGCGTATATTCATAAAGCAGTCAGTGGTTCCTTTATATTGACATTCAGTTCCCCCTCTCTGCACGCAAATAACAAGGACAAATCGTCACTGCACTGAGAAGGAAACTCAGATGCCTAGCAAAATTTATCTTTCTTTAGTAAAGAGCACTAGAGAACTTTTCCCTAATGTTTCTCATACTGCAAAAGTGTGATCTTTTACCTAATAAATATTCATCTGATGTAGTGCTCTGTTAGTTGGTTCCTATAGCTAAATTTAGAAGGGCTGTGATCCTTCTTCCAATGCTGCTTTTAAGCTTTACTGGGCCAGTAGAAGGCTTAGGAATTAAATGAGGTCACCCCAGCCAGTCCTAAGGGTGCTCTAAATTGTTTCAATGCTATTAAAATTTCCACAGCTCATTTTTTTCCTTCTTTAGTACCACTGAAATATTTTTACACCTTGTGGAGTTCAGTTCATTAGTAATCAATAGAGTCCTCTAAAAATTGTTAAGGTCTTGACTAGCACAATAACATTTATGTTATTGGAAGGTTAAGATGAAGCACAGTTCAGTTTTCATCTAGCCCACCTTGTTTCTGAGCATTAATTTGCCTGACAAATAAAAACAAAGCAGAAGGGAGGGTTTGTTGGGTAGAGATCTCAGCACTATCTTCACTAAAACTTGCTTCAGGTGCTTACAGATGAAGGAACTAATGGGTGACAAGCAGTGAATGCTCACATGCACACAACATCATCATTTCTGTACAAGTTAGAGCTAAGGAACTTAACCCTCCCTTCAGCTTTTCTCAAGCACAGTGGGAGTGACAACCAGGCCAGCTGCTTTAAGTCTTGAAAATCTCAGCAGTGGGCCAGAGACAGCCCAGAGGAACCATGTGTGGCCATGCTCTGCACAGCAGAGTGCTTGGAATGGGTTGCCCAGAGAAGCTGTGGCTAACACATCCCTAGCAGTGCTCAAGGCCATGTTGGATGGGGCTTGGAGCAAACTGCTCTAGTGGAAGGTGTCCCCGCCCATGGTAGGGGGTTGGAACTGGATGAGCTTTAAGGTCCCTTCAAACCCAGACCACTCTGGGATTCTATGAAATATGCCCACTCTGGAAGCTGGCATAGTGAAAACAGCAAATCTTTCAGATACTCTTGAGTAACCCCACAGCTCTGACAAAGCATTTTTTTTGTAGATGTACTTGGTAAACTGTCAAACAATTCCTTTTCTGGAACTGCAGTCTCTTCAGGATCCAACACCTATGTTAGGAACTGGCACTGTTTCTTGTCTTTGCTAGTGAAAAACACGTACACTTTTTTTCTTTTTTTGGAGTGGTTAACTAAAATCCCTCTCTTCATGTGAAATTCGGCTGAAGACACTAGTTTTTACTTATTTTTTTTTTAACTTAAATCAGCTACACTGTAAGCTGAATCCACCTGTAATGTCAAAGTAAGGTTTTAGACTGTCTATAATGTCAGAAACATAACCTTGCCTACTTTAGGCCTTTGTGATGTTCTCTGCAGCTAATAACATGATGTTTGAAATTTCTGATGAAGCAAGTCTCATGTTTTATAATGTCCTCTGTTAGGAATTAAGGTATGAGATCACTACAGATTTCCTGAATTTAATGCATATAGGAAATAAATCTGTGGTAAATACTCACATGAATCAATATAAATAAGCATAGTAACATAGCTAAAAAACATTTTAAATATGTTGGTTTGAATTGACATGATATATGCAAATTAAAAGATACTTGGTTGTTACTGCTTAGTTGAGAAATCAATTTTGCTGAAGGCAGTAACTGTGCTTATTATTTCAGGAAGTTACTCCATCTGGCAAATACACTTTCAAGGAATAAAAGGTGCTATATTTAATTCAGGGCTTGCTCTTGAATCAGAAGCAGCATCATTATAAGAAATTGATAAAAATCATACTAATCAGCTTTATTTGTACCTGAAACTTCAGAACAACATGAGACACCACATGAAATATATTTATACATCCACAACATATATTCGTCCTCTCATTCTCACCTTTTGCGCTAGTAAACCCATTATCTTACTCCAGATGATTAGAATTTATGTTTTTAATAATCTTGATACTATCCACTATCCTAATGGAAAGTTGATTACCAGAAATACAGGCAATTCTTTGTGAAGGTCTCAAGAGGCACAGGACTTGGGAATAAAGACAGCATTAACTGTGGGCCTGCTGCTGATTAAGCAGATAAAGCGGAATCTGAAGACAGTGAAATCATATTTAGTCTGAAAAAAAGAATTCTAATGGTGCTAATGGTCTTTGCTCACTGTGAGCTTCAAGGTTCCTGTTATTTAGGACAGATTACCAGTGGTATGCAGGCATTATGCAATAATCCCAATATCCCTTGGGGTATTTTTGAAAGCATCTAAACAAGTTCTATGCCAACATATATTATGCTTTTCTTTAGAGTTTCTGGAATATCAAGAGAAAAGATACTCTTGAAACAAAATGTAGAGACACTTCTTTGGAACTCACAAGTCCTTTCTAGTACCAGATGGCACAGCGTCCTTAGGGATGCAGGGGACAAGGTCCTGATTTTTCAGTAGTGTATTTGCGGGGTTTTTATTTTGTGTTTGAGGATGATCTTCATAGCAAGAATTTTTATTCTGAAGTGTACTTCTGAACTACCTAGTAAACTTACCTGCTGCAACAAGATCCAACATTAATTGCTCATAACGCAGTGTAATAGCAATCACATGCTCAGAAGTAATTCTCAGCTTGTACTGAGCTTTGAAGATCACTGATCCTACCTCACACCTGGGGAGCAGCTGTGTGCCACAAAGGCTGTTCTTACGACCCCATTAGCTGAGATAATAAAGGATATTATTCTACCCACAAACTTGTCTTACTCCAGATATCTGGCTTCTGAGTGGGAAAAAGAAAACAGATCCTGTTTTTCTACTAAAAGCTCTCACCAAGCTGTGAACATACTTTTACCAGGCTCCCACAATATTATTACTTCATTTTACTTCTTGTCTTTCTGGAGATGTTTCCACTTTTCTCAGTAGAGTCTCATCTGCTGTAAGGCTAGGCAGGGCTTCAGTTACCACAACCAACTTCTAAAATCTCAGAAGTAATTTTCAGAAAAGGGTTGCAAGCTAGACCGTACGTGCATCATCATGTCTCCTGACAAAGAAGAAGACAGCATTCTGGAGGATGTAGTCACAACTTGAGCAATGAAAAAAGAAAGAATCAATGGAGTTTCTTTTGGGTTTGGCAATAATGAATCCAAAATAAACCAAAAATGGACACCTGTACAAATTCTATAAAATGTTTGCCAAATCCAGGGCATCTTTAGTATAATTTTGATAATTTCTCTCAATTCTACTGTAAAATGATTTGGCTCTTCAGCCATATATTCTATTGACCACAAGTAACTGTCAAGACAAAAGCTGTAACTAACATTCTCACTAGTTCCCAATTGTCCTGGTTTCAGCCGTAACAGTTATTTTTCTTCTAATAGCTGCTGCAGTGCTGTGTTTTGGCTTCAGTCTGAGAACAATGTTGATAAACCACCAATGTTTCTGGTTGATGCTAAGTAATGCTTACTCCGATCAAGGACTTTTCACTCTCATGCTCTGCCAGTGAGAAGGGGCAGGAGAAGCCAGGAGAGAGCAGAGACAGGACACCTGACCCAAACTAGTCGAAGGGGTGTATTCCATCCACAGCACCTCATGCCCAGTATATAAACTGGGGGGGTTACCTGGAAGGGCAAATTGATGCTTAGTTTGGGGTGGGTATCGGTTGGTGGGTGGTGAGCAATTGTATTGTGCATCACCTGTGTTTTCTGAACTTACCTGTCTTCTTTTGTTGTTTCCTATTATTATTGGTATTCTATTATCACTTTATTTTACCTTAGTTATTAAATTGTCCTTATCTCAACCCATGGGGTTTATATTCTTTCAACTTTCTTCCCCATACCAGCTAATGGAGGAGGGGAAGGGGAGGGATGAGCAAGTGGCTGCATGGTGCCAAGTTACTGGCTGGGCTTAAACCATGACACTAACAAGTATTTCAAATACCGTGACAAAGATTTTAAATGTGTGCATTTTCACTTTTAACTTTAATGGTGGCAAAACATCCAAAATAGGAGGCTTGGAATACAATGATTCTCTGCACTGAAACACCAAAACCCCAATGCAGGCCAGGAAAGTCCATCTCTGTTTCCAGTTTTAACAATACAGTCACCAAGTCCTTGAACTGTTGCTCACCAGCACCTAATGTAAAAGAAATTTATGCACACTGTCAGACATTACAGAAGATCTTTTAGTACAAACTACTTCACGTGACTGAAACGTAAACAGCACAGACAATTGTTTTGGCCACTTATGAAGAAAGCATAAAGAAATACAGCCACATGGATGGATGAAGACAGTTTATTCAGATAGTGGTATCCAGTTTCTGAAGCACTTTCAGGTCGAGTAACTGCTATTCCAGTTTTGTCCTCATTCAGCAGAATGCTTATGTATGAATTCTCCTGCTCTTTCTCCAGAAAGACTTTTTTTTTTTCCCCTGTGTAATACCATGCTTTCACTTCCTCCACACACATTCTTACTCATTTATTAGAATTTCTCATTTCAGCACTTTGCTGTAGTCGATCACAAGCCCTAAGCTGTGACGAACTTAAAAAAATCCACTTATATCCATAGATTTTTCATATGTTTCTGCATACAATGGGTAACTTCACCCAAGCTCTTATCATTCTTTCTCTACAGCTGAAAACACAGCAAGCAATAAGCTAGTCTTTGAAGGAAGAATTACAAACTGTACACCTTCTTGTACTGAAGATACAATGAAAATATTAATTCAGCACAAGTACAGGGCACAAAAAGCAA